AAAGACTTCACTGTTAGATGCCAGGTTTTGGTTTGACCACCCTGCACTTTTTACCAACCTATTAATATGTCAGCTAGCATTGCTTCATCAAGAGGGTGGCGGCTTCACAACCTCATCGATTGACTTCCATTCCTTACTCAGCACTCGACGCCTAACCTTAATATTGCTTGCTATACTATACAACTTAACAGGGGAGATTATTGATCTCTCAGGTATCTTTTCTTTGACTTGTCTCAATTACTTAGGTAGATGCTCGGTTGTACGAGTAGAAAGTCGATTATCCGTACCACCCATATATTTGTTACCACATATATACACAAATTGGTATGCGTAGTTAAAGCGTTGAAAATTGTCATCCGATCTACCACCTACTAAGGATTAGTCATTCTATTAAAGAACACATACCATTTAAACAACTTTTCTAAACTTGATACAACGGAGAACTAAGAAATGAACTATGCTTGAAGAAATCAAAGAGTTGAAAGAATGGAAGTAATCAATGAAGAAAATGATACAAGAATCTCAAAGTTGGAATTAGAATACAGAAAATAATGAAAAGTGGGGGATAGTACTAAGATGAACCAGAAGATAATATAGTGACGGATAACGAAAAACACAAAGTAATGTGTTTTAACCACCGATTTCATATTTTGACTGAACAATTCGAAGCCAACTGGAATTTCTGTACTTCTATAAACTAGAGGAACTATATGTAGCAGAAGAATTCCGTCATTTTCCCACATGGGTTTCCTTTTAAAAAAGCATCTCATGTAAGCATTCCCGTCTCCCTCCACCCCACTGTTTATGTTACCCAGAATAACATAAAAGATTTTATGAATATCCACTGCGCTATTAATGACATGTCAGCTAACAGGACACTCGAAAATTAATAAACTACACTTATAACTTATACACAGAAATTTCAGTGTTGAACGAAATGAAACTAAGGGATTAAATAAACGTTTGTATTCAGTGGAAAAGGGGTTGCATAATAAGAACGAGAGGTGGAAAAGATGATAAGTAGCTAATAAGCTGCATAACAATGTGTTCAGTTTAGTTCAAATCATACAAAAAGGCAAGCAAATCACATTATAGCTAAGGGGGGAGAGGTTACAACCGAAGATTTCGTAATCAAATAAATGGGAGAGTAGCGACATAGAGTGACCAGGATAAGGAAAGACTGAGAACTGCTTCTTTCTGAACAGATAAATCGGGTTTCAACTGTTTGATAGCAAATTATTCAGCAAGCAGCAGAAGAGTTAAAGTACATTTCCTATTGATAATTTTGAAGGATTTCAACAGACTGAATAGTTTAATTCTCCTCAGTCTGACGCTTGAATGTTGATTCAAGTTTTCAGGAAGAAGCAGTTTTCAGTCTTTTTTTGTCCTGGTCACTCGATGCCTTTACTCTCCATTTTATTTGATTATGCGGTTGTAACCTGTTCCTCTTTCGCAATACTGTAGTTTTGCTTGTCTTTTTTCACCTATGAGTTAAAATGAACTCACTACGTTGCTATGCAACTATCATCTTTTGAGCCTCCCGTCTTTATTATGCAACTCCTTTCCCGTTGTATATAAACATTTATTAAATGTTTTGGTTTTGTTTGCTTTAAACGTAAGCCTTCTGTATAAAACTTATATGAGTATAATTGCTGAGCACTGTTAATGAATTTTGGAGTCTCCTGTTAACTGACATCTTGTCACATTTGCAAGTATGTTAAAAGTGCTCTGTAAATTTAGTCGAAATGTGCTTTTTTAGGTTGTATATATCCTATGGGAAGTCTACGAAATAAACCATGGTACTATCTTATTTCGTTTTAGCTTTATTCAAACAGAATACTTTTATTGAGATCCTTAGTGCTGTGAAGAGTTCATTGACTCATCCATTTAGTAAACGTATTCATATATATATAAAGGAAGTATGCAAAACTTAGTACATAAAACACAATGATAACAATTAAAGCTACTAAATGCATATTCACACAAAAGCCATAAGTTGAGAAAATAGGCAGTGAAAAAACATCGATACATTTTTGCAATTTCCTGTTTAAATTAAACAAAATGTGATATACAGAGAAGGATAGAAATATAACTGAAGAGTGATCAGCTTAAAAAAAAGAAACAAAAATCATTGCAATGACAACTGTATTACATCACAATTCATTACTGATGAAACTTAGTGGACAAACATTTTAAGCGCGCGAGTTACTTAAATATTTAATTCCACCAGTATTATATTGAAAACCCTTTCATACTTTAAATATCAACAATTAAAGCATTCAACTCACTACACTGAAAAAGACTCCATGCAAGAAGGAAGGAGACTCTTGAAAACAGTAGTGAACAGACTTTGTCCCTTGAAGAAAATTGAAAAATGTAACTAATTCTACGCACATATTTAAAAAGTACATAAAACCATAGAAAATGACATACACATATATATATTTACCTGGAATTAGAATTTGCAGAAGCTGAAGCATTTGTACCATACTGACCCGAGGCAGTATCACTTTCAGACCAGTTGGCAGTGACGCGTAGGCCGACTAACGGAACGCTTCCTGACTTATCCGATGAGTCATTAGACGATGATGCCAAATTATCAAGTGGTGTTCCGTCCAAAACATCTAAATCATCATATAAACTTGAAGCCATGTTAAAATAGGTTTTTTATTTTCAATTCTATATCAAAAGAATAAATTTTTTATTACTATTACAATACTTTAACCATAAAGCAAATACATTCATAGCATGACAATACATTTCGCAGATAAATATCCACATTTTAAAATGAAATTAAATTGGACAGCAAAGTTTGTGGGCTCTTATCTCTTTTTTTCCATTCCTAGCGTTTCCACTGGAGTATAGGACTACAAGCTTTGAAGTTTCAGTGGTGGTGGTGTTGTTATACGGAGTGGGGTTGCTAACTTCAAGCCTAACCTTCCTTCTTTCACGGGCCTACTACCGGTTAGGAAAGCGTTAGCGCTGGCATCGGCTGGAGTATTCCACATGGCTGACAAGCCCTTCTACCAGTATACTACCGATGCAGAAAGTTAGGAAGATAATCCATCCCCTACTACCTTTACATTAAACATCTCAAGTAGTTAGTTTAGTGTGAATAAGTAATGAAATAATGCACGATTAAAATGAACTGAGTAGTTATATCCTTCTACTTTGAAAGTCTTCATTGAGTCTTTCAAAGAAGTAAAATATAGTCTTATTATCCTTTTTCCAATACACTTTAACAGCTTCTTTATTCGACCTCTTTTGCAGTTTGTACTACTGCAGTCCTTGTTTTCCACGTAATATGTACACCTCCACTCCAAGGTATTATGTATAATGAACAATTGGAATTTATGAAGTCATAAAGCTAATTTTTATCACTGGATAGAATATTTGGATACAGTGATTACGTAGTTCTTTGATAATTACGATGGGAAAAGATATCACATTAGTTTTTACGTTCATGATAAACTAATTAATTTATGGATCATGTGAGTGATTATATATATTCAGGTCAAATCAAATGGAAATATTATCTCAATGGAAAACATTGGTTGTCTAAACACTACAACACCGAAATATAATTATATTAGGATCTCAAAAGGACAAACAGACAGAAATCAAAAAATAACACAGATATATATATTATAATTGTATACTTATAATTCAATTGGCAAGTAGGACAGTCAAATATGTATACAACAATAATAGAGGAAATGTAACAATATATGAGCATAGATAGGATTAGGTTAAAATGTACAGAACGTAAGTGATTATTCACTTTTTGTCTTATTGTATTCATACATAGTCCCTAACGTACAATAACACAAAAAGGATATATATATATATATATATATATACGCGTATGCCTATTGAATCAAACCTACAATTTTCGTTTTAAAGGTGATAAAAAGATAATAGAGAATGTTGAAAGGAAAATTTTAAATACATTTAAGATGCAACACAGAGGAAGAGAAAGAGAGACATAATCTTAGCTACAAGACCCCTCCTCTAGTATTATCACCACCCAGGAATAGATTTGATCTCAAATCCCTAAACTATTACCAATCATGCGAATAAAATCAAAGGAAACAACATTGTTCTATGCATATACACAATTGACATAAACATGAAGAAAGAAATACAGAATAAGTACTTTACTTATTATTCCTTTTTAGTAGTAATATATTTATGTATGACTAATATTATTATTTATTATTGCAGCCTATAGTCAATCCTTGTATTGGATCATATTGACGATGGGATGAAGGCCACAGGACAATAAGATCGTGTGTAAAATCAAAGAAATAAAGCTTCAATATTGAAATTAAGCAAATCACCACTGCAAAAGCAAAGTTCAATGAAAGATAAAATTAGCATATTAAAGTCATCAGCAGCAGTAGCAGAAATAAGTGTATGATTATTGATAATTAAAATAACAGTAATGATAATAATAATAACAATAATAATAGAACTATAAGCTTACATTACAAATCATTGTCAATTTATACAAGAATGAATAAAGCATAACAATAATATTAATATTCACATAACTTTCCTATTCTGTCACATTTAAAATTCGTTGGATGCATAAGTCTTCTCTACGTTTTTTTTGTTCTTTTCAAAATACAAGGAAAGAAAAAAGAGTAAATGAATTTTACAGGACAAGAGAGAGAGAGAGAGAGATTGAGAGATAATCAAAACTGAATTTATTGCACATATTAGACTTGGCTGGAGAAAAAGCTTCAACTGTTTGTATATTTTCTTTTCCGATGATAAATGTCAAATACCAAAAGTAGCTGTATATAATAATTACAATGCTTGTGTACACAAATACATACATACATACATTCAAGAAAAGAATACAAGTTACCTAGAAAAGGAAAAGAATCTTCCTGGCATATACATATAAATAAATAAAAGATACTATGAAAGACCACAAAACACAAAAATGAATTCGAAAAAAAAACAGAAAAAATATGAAAGAACTTGGTTAAATTACTTCAAGCGATTGAGTAGGCAAATTAGGAAAACATATTTCATTCAAACTGAGATCTCAAAAGTTCCATCAGGAGAACTAGAATCACCTTCGAGTTGCCATCCAGGAATTAAATGGTTAGAATTTTTTGGACCGGTTAGCTGCATTCGATTATTTGGTGCATTAGATCTAACAATGCGATTATGTGGAGGCAAGGGTGGAGTAGGACGAGATGAAGCTTGTGTTATGACTGAAGGGTTATAAGCTGAAGCAAAGGATTGAGAAATATGTTTAGAAACTGATGATTCATTTAGACGTGTATTGTCTATGAAAAAATGGGATTCATCAACTGGACAGATATTAGGATTACCAAAGTAAGGCGGTCTTACTAAACGCAGGTGAGAAATGGGAGCACTATCAGATAAGTGACTGGTTGTATCAAACGGCGAAAAATACTGCGATGATACAGAAAGACCATGAGGAGGTACCACAGGAGACCACATTGGACGAACATGAGGGATGCTCATTTGTGAACCATGCGGTGGTAAAGGAGGAGGAAGACCATGAGATGAGTGTGGAGGCAACTGATGGATAGCTCCACTATGGTGAGACAGTACATGTTTTTGATTTCCTTGAGTACCAGGTGTTCGAGAAACCTGATGGGTAGGTGGATGCCGACGATGATCAGACCTCACTGACTTCATGAAACCCTTTGACATATTGTTATGAGGATAATTTACAAACTGAGGATTAGAAGTATGCACACCAGAAAGACCATGATGCATATCACGAACAGTTAAAGGTGAATGAGACTTGGGTGAAGATGGTGCAACATTCAAATCCTGAGCAGTACCATATCGTGATTGAGAAAATGTAGCAGGATTCGTGTCCACTGGTAAGTTAACACGATCACGAAGATTCATCATCGAAGTAGAAGAGGTGCGTGAACATGTGTTTTCATTAGAACGAGAAGGATTGAAATCACGTGAAGAACTCCTTCCAATCCCAACAGTGATACCTTGCTCTTGTTGCTTACGTTGAAGAGAATTGCTTGATTTACTTTGATTATCTGAAGTGAATTTTTGTAACTGACGTCCACGAATTAATTCGACATCAGAATTTTCGTGAGATCTTAACAAAGGTGTTTTATGATCTCCTGCTGTGGCAAAGTGATCTCTATTAGACATAATTTCCATTTGAACATTACCACCTGTTTGAGCAGCGGAGACTGAATCAACACCCATACTATGTAAATTTGCAATATGCTTCGGGGTATATGTGTCAGTTTGTTGGCCTTTGCCCTGATCTTTATTACCTACTAACTTCGACTTTATTCCCAGTGAAGAAGGATTGGAATTTACTTTTATTTCACCACTTCTTCCATGCACAGGTGACTGAGACCTGGACACCATTTCTTGGTCAGCAGCGATAACAAGAGCATTTGGTGAGTCAGTGACAGATATATTTTTGCCGTTTGCGTTAGGTAAGACAGAACTGTCTAAATCACGATGAACACCGGCAACCACATCATCGACAGTATTTTGTTGTTCAGTAGCATGGTTAATCTTATTCCTTGAATCTGTCTTCTCACAAACAATTGCATTTTCTTTAACAGCGTTAGCTGAGTCATCAGAAGGTTTCTATAAAATAATTAAAACACAGAAAAATTCAAAGTGGTACAATATACAAATAAATTAAAGTTTTTCATACGTTGTGCATAGTCATTCGATCGAAAGACGAAGAACTGATTTCCGCGGAGCATGCACGAAAGAAGTGAAATAATTTATCTGATTATTGAGAGGAAAAATGAGATTCATTAATTATTTTACCCAGAAACAGCTTTATAGCAGAACGTAAGAAGGTTATAGGGTTAAAATAGAAATTACTAGACATATCCAGTATCTTGTTATACACTGACTTCCTTAGGCATTCAGCTTTGTAAACTATAGTGAGAAAAAACTAGTCAACCAATCTGCTTCTTACCATGTTAACCTACAAACTCGGCCTTCCATGTGTGGATACCGGTTGATTCCACACAAACATGGCAGTCCATTGTATATCAACAGAAAGAAACTAACTATACGACTGAGACTTAATAAGACATGTATCAATACAAGAGCCTACTAATCGACATGGAAATGGTCAAGGCTTTGGAGATATTAAATAATTAGAAAAAATGTAACACCAATATTATTATCATTAGAAAAACAGACCTGGTACATTTTTTAAATTTTTCTAAAATTTTATTATAGCTTGATTCCACACAGTATTTTGGTACATGTATGAAATTTTCAGCGTGTGATATCGGTAGCCCAAATTTAGCAGGCCGACCTGGATCGAACCTCGAACCATGTGCATGATCGGCGAGTCCTAACTGCTGTGCCAACGACGCACATGAGTACCAAGGGATATGCTAAGACGGACATTATGTTCTCAACCGCAGTCTGGACCTTACTAGTTGGGAATTAAGACAACTGTAGGTGTAGTAGTGTAGAACGGGAACACTTATTTAACCGACTGCAAGTATTTCGCTGACAAAAAAATACCCCTTTCAGGACGCTAATTTTAATTCATTAGCTAAATTCATTTCCCTAGTCATAACATGTAACAGTATATGAAGACCATGACCATTGCTTCGAATAATGAGTAGTGTATATTACTTTATTTAGGTACCTCCGGACGACAAAAAAACAATTACAATTGTTTGACTCCAACTTAACCTGTATCACACATGCATTGTAAAGAACTATTGTTACCCGGAACAGATTTTTCATATAGTATCCCATGAGCTACACTAATTGACTGAAAGCTTATCACATTACCTAATTGCATGGACTGAATTAGGTAGTGGGAGATTTGAACCTGGGACAAAATGGTTGAAAATTGTGTTGCTTACGTTAGTCCACCACATCTTTACTGCTTTAAAACTGAAAATCGACCACAGCAGTTTCTAACTGACTTGAATTGTGAATTTTTAAAAAGTATGTCTTTTGAATATTAAGACTCCTCCAATTTAGAAGAAGAAATTATAAATACTGACTTTTATTTCCAGAATTAGTGGACGGTTATAGAGCTGTATATTGTCTTTCAATACCCTTAGTATTTACTTACTAATATGAGGTTCATAACGACACAGAAAACTAAATATACAAAATGAACCCTAATACTTGTTTAAGCTGAGCAAGTAGTTTCTGCGTTAGCATCTTAGAAGTTTAACAGCCAGAACGAAAGACCTGAATGATTAGCTTCTGTAAGTTTGTTTCTGCAAATGAAAGGCTTTTTAACATGAAGCTGACGCCTTATTTTACAATTCATAAGTTATAATATTATGGGTTGAAAATATTTTTGATAGACACGCATTACTACTGCTACAAAGCGACTAACTAGGTGGTATTAGCAGCCTTTAATGCTGGTTATAGGAAAAATATCTCTTCGCGATAACTGAGTTTTAACTAGGAAAACAAGAAAAGTTGGCACACAACATGGGCGCATCACTTAAATCACTTCAGAACAGATGGATAAATAAGGTTGAAAAAAAGTTTATTCCTAGTCACATGAAAACCATGAAAACAAAGGTAAATGAAATAAGTTGCAACAAACAAGGGGGCATATTTTACACCGTTAATATTACGTTGTTAAAACCAGAGATAAAAAAATCTATATAATATTAAAACTTGCTATTCACACTTACACAATTATTTGGAAGTTCAGAATTATTAAGTGAAGATCGAAAATCCGACGCCTGAAGATGGTGAATAGATTTTCCATTATAAGATATTCCCCACATATCCACTTCAACTACATTTGACCGATTGAGTCTGAATGGGATTGATGAGTGTAGCAAAGCAAACTTACAAAGGTAACTGGGAGGTGCAAAAGATGTTCATCCAGTTCTTGTACAGACCCCGATCATAGGGATTCATATCAAGATCATATTTCGAAGTAACCTTTAAAAGCGTAGAAAGTAGGTTAAATAACAGGAAGGCAAATGTGACGGTGTGCTAAAAAACAATTACAAAGCTACATGATAACTTTAAAGTGGATTCATGAGACATTACAGTAATGTTTTCTACTAACAAACTGAAAAATATATTGATAGTATTGCAAATTAAATTTTTAATGCATAAGTGACATAGCTGACAGATCTAGCAACTGTGTGGTATTTGCATTGGAAAACACAATCCAAGTGAATTAATTCAGAGAGTGCTATATTACTAACACAAGTGACCAGAAACTTACCATCCGATGGTACATTTTAGTCTATTTTCATTTAAACGTCTCCCAAATGTATCCTACAAAATTAATGTTACGTGTTAAGGTAAACGGTAGTTTTATGCCCGAAAACACTGAAGTCACCTCAGCACGGATAGTCAAACACATCAAATGGCTCTGTTTTTATAGAGAACAAATTATGAACTTCCGAACTGCTTAAGTGACATCATAATCAAACATGAGAAACTTTGACTATCTGTAACTTATGACCTGACGTCAGCTACTTTTTTACAACGGATCCATGGTTAATACTGGACAAACTGCAATAATATAGTTATATTTTCATACACGACCAAATATTTTGTAAGGCTCATATGTGCCTTAGGTCAGCAACAGCCCAAAAGGAACTCTAGGGCTTTTGTCCATTAAGAAATACTCAATTAGCATTGTTACGCCTTGCCAAATGAGTCGACTGACTAACAAATTTATAAAATTATATAATTTTAAAATGGATATATGTACAAACAGGACTTGAAATCCATGAAACCAAAAATATTCGAATTTTAGGATCATCTATGGGTTAATGTTAGATATTTCCCGGGAGTGAAAATTTTCCAAGGCAACGTCCTCATTTGTCCCTATTGAATAATATTTTGCGCCTAATATTACCATTTATACTCGTGTCCATATTTTTGATTTACTTAACTGAAGACTATAAATCTATCGCTTGAATATATATATATATATATATAACATGAACAGCACAATTAATGTGGATAACTAAATCGACCATAAGAGGAAGTCTCGAAAGCTGTATGAAATGCATCGGACGACAGCAGTTAAGAGCTAATTACATCAAATACGCCTTTCTAAAGTGCTTTTTGAAAAAGTCAGCAGACCGAGGTGCACATGTAACAGAAATGATAGGAAACAAATCAGTCTGACATAAATACACTACTTAAACTAAGTCCCTTTTTAAAATTTAGCAAAAGTAGTAAGAATAATAAAAGGCACTTACTTGTTCATTTGTAGTACGCCCCTTGCTGACAAGAAAAATATGGAAACCTGTCAAACCCAAAACGGGAAGCAGTAGTAAACCCACCAAGATCAAAACACCAATACTGAAAGAACAGGTTAAAGCATAGCAGCAAAAGTATTCTAAGTGAATATAAGAATATACTTGGGGAGTTTTGTGATAATAGATTAAATGAATGGGACGAATATATTGTCATTGTATGCACATACATACAGCAATTTCGCAATGCAATATTCCAGTGGTCTTATGAATACAAATTTCATCCACAGAAGATAAAATGGACTGAACTGTCTAGTCTCGTGAGCTACTCTCAACAAAAGTAGACAGTGTTTGCCTACACGTTACTTTTATAATATCGTCTTGAGTTAACTTAAAAATCTCGAAAATAGTTTTATCAGAAATATTATAAAGGATACGCAATAATAACTTTGTAATGAGAAAGCTGGTTCGTACGCATTAGTACGTATGTTACTGACACACCAAAAACAATGATCATATGCAGTGTCAATGAGAGTAGAAAGGAGAAAAAGTATCGATAGTTTCTCCGACCTATACAATTGTTCAACCATGGACAATGATGATCAAATGTCTACAAGTTCAAGAAAGAATGTGTGACTTACATCAATGCAATGCTTGCAAATTGAACAATGGGAGCATCGTGGAGGTCTATAAAACTCACATGTAACACACCATTTCAAGCGAGTGGGTATTCCATTTATATCTACAGATTTATACATGACAGTGCGAGGAGAGCCCTTCTCCATCGTAGTCATTTTCTCACCAGGAACACCTAAAAAATATCTGTGATATACACAAACGCACCCATTGCGTAATAACCAGGGTCCATAAACGTCGCTCTACCAAAAGCAGAAATGACAAAAAAGAAAAGCAGCGAATGTCCGGCTGTAAACGCATAACTCGTTTCTTCGCTAAAATCCCAACAACTGCGAGTAGTTTCAAATAGCATTAAAAACACTTACATAAAAACTAAGTACAAGCCAGTAAGAAATATCAGAAGAAACCAAGCAATAAGAGCTGGTCCAATGTTTCTTGAGAAGGCCTGACAACTCATAGTCAGCCGATATAATAAAAACCAACAAGCCTCGACATTATTGAACGGAAGTCGAAACAACCGGCATCTATTACGATCATCACAAACAAATCCTGAGTGACAGCAGTCAGATGTGCTGATTTCATGGTGTTTAACTTCTCAAATAAATGTCTTTCATCTTACGGCATCAGCGAATGCGTGTTTCAGATTCAATCTTCACTTCGTGATATTTCGTTTCACTATTGAATCTTGGGCTTTCTTTAGTAGCGAGCACTTCTTAAACTCTTTAATTCGCGGCACCACAATCAAACATTTCATGAAGAGGCTTGTGTATAGCGCTGCATACAGGTTTTCTGTCGTACTGGCTAATTACATCTTGATTCCACTAGTAGGAATACAACCTCCTAACCCGTATGGTGTCTGAAAAGACAGAAATTGAGATTCAACTGCCTTCTGATTTTGCAAAAGTTGAATTGCTTCGAATGGCATTTTTACTAGCACAGTCGCATCTGATATCATTATACAGTACATTTATATCTCCGTTTCTACTCGTTTTGACTAGTAGAACACATTATTATGTATTGAGTAAGAGTAACGGCTATTTGGTTACATTTGGTGATCAGTGTAATGTACTGTTTAGGTTAAATGATCCACATGTATTCAATTCAGATGTCACCTGTTAGACTTCCTAGACATGTTAGCCTTCACTTTGTGTGTTAGTACTCTGAGACCGCAATAAGCCCTCATTATTGAAGAAGGGTAACTACCACAGTAGTTCAGATAAATTATTTTATCGTAAATTGATAGACAGAAATCCACTCGGAAGAGTTGAAGCTTTGTACTTCATTTCATACACTGTTTGTGGACTAAACTTTCATGAGATAACATGCAGTCAGGAATAATGTGTGGATGGTGGTTGATGAATGTCCCTGAAGAAAGCATAAAGAGTTCGACTCCCAGCATTCTGATGTGGATCAGTGGTACTCTCATGTTTCAAATTTGTTCGTCAACCTTAGAGTACAAGAGGGACCTCAAACTTGAAATGACTGAGAAAACAACATGGGCTTTTCGTTTACCATGAGGTAGAGTCAGTGTATATGAGCTATGGCTTTATAACCTTTGAAGTTTTTGAGTTGATTAAACAAACAAATTATGACCACCAGTGTTAAGATCCTTATCACAATTTATGTTGGTTATTTAGGTTGACCTTAGCAGTCTCATATTTGTAGAAACAGTGGCAACATTTGTCTTCTCTCTCTGTTACGCAGCAGGCCAGCTTTCAGTAAATAAAGTAACCGTATAAAATAGCAGCTTGTATATTTGGTCTGACTAAGTAGCGAGGTTCTTTGAGTAAAGTTAGGGTATCTTGACTCCACGGTTGTGTTTTACTGACATTTCGGTTTATAGATGCTTTACCACATGTCAATTTAACCTGAATATTTTTGGGGAAGGTAAAAGATACCTGCACATCGACAGACAGATCCACCTCGATTGTCAACGTAATAGTAGTTATAAAAAAGTAATTGAAATAGTTGACAACTTTCGAGGAAGGCAATAAGCTCACCTGTCTTCTCCCATAGAATGTGCATTGACGAAGGTGTCTTTTGCATTAACGAATTGGTCGCTGCCACGCAATCTGGACATTATGACTTCTTTTTTCGCGTTCGACTGTGGCGAATTTCAGGAGCAGTAGGACTGACGGTAAGCCACAGTGGTAAATTTGAGGGATTTCTGATACCCATAACGTTCTTTGGTGACATAATTGAAAGCTCCTCTTGTAGCATTTAGTGAGTTCGTATGTGAAATTCTTAGTGAATTCCATGTAACAAGTTTCTTTATTTACTTTCTGCTGGGTAATTTGATTGTGGATATTCAGGTAGGTATGGTTTGTGGTTCGTGGGATGTCAGTGGAGCGTATTTTGTGCAGATTGAGACTGGGTTCCGCGGAGGTGGCAGGTAACACCAGAGAGGACTTTCAGCTACCTCCCATGTAAATGTTTGGTTAACTAGTTCAACTTTTAGCCATTTCAATAAGCGTCAACTGAATACAGATGATAATCTACAGAGATTAGTCCCTCAAATATGACGTGAACATGGGACCAAGAGTGCTCGGGCCGCGGCCAGAGGATGTCTGACAGATTCTGTACATTCCGTACATAGTCTATGATATGTTGCCCTATCCGTGATTTTCTGAGTCCGATACCTTGATGAAGACTCAATCTATGAACATGAAGTAGACATTTATAATACACTGATGCGTTTGTCATGGGATAAAAAAGTTATTCACCAGTGAGGTTGCAACGTACAACCCACTGTTATTTCTTGCCTTTTGTGTGGCATTCTGAATACTACCTGATTCATGTGGAATTGGTCAGAAAAGTGGATTGATGGCCGTACATCAATATCCGGTTTCAAAATCAAATAATTTAATGTAGACTGTTTGCACGGTGTGTCTCGGGGAGACAGAGCTGAAATATATTCACATATTATCGGCAATCTGAATTGTCTGCCATGAAACAATTTGTGTAAACAACATAATGCAAAGGTAAAATAATGTCTGTCTGACCATATTTCCATCCCACAGCAGTTGTCCAGATCCATACAATATGGCTTAATGTATTTCACTGAGGAAAATATAATACCGCTTCACTGGCACCGTATGTATAAGCATCCAACGCTATCACAGTTGACAGTGAGTTACTGGTGGGTAGGCATTGAGGCTGATTGATAGCATGGACTTATGTTAATCAATAGCTGATTCACATTCTTCAATGCATCCCCAAGGAAATGCTGTACAAAGAAGACAAATTTAAGTGCTCTTACAATCTGCATAGCTGAAAGGAATACATAGTTATAATTTGTGAATTACCAGAACGAAGGAGAACATTCTGTTGGCTCTAGTGGCTGAGGTACAGTATCAAAATCATATGGATCAACATGGATTGAAGAAGTGAAGTTCATCTGCGGCATATTCGTCACTGAGATTATAATTCAGAGGTCGAGGGCTTCGACGTTGACGGATAGTATGAAATATACTAACGCAAAATCTAATACCCACAACTTCTATAGAATTCGTTCCGCTTAGACAAAAAGCAAAGCAAAACAACGGAGTTGAGCGTTCAAATTAGGAAATGTATTACGGGACCAAATCGGAGTGCGAGATGATTACTTAACTAGCTAGGGATCGTGCACGACCGAACGAACGTTATACAAAGGCATAAAAGATGGCGTGTATGCTTCAGAGTATGCGTTTAGCCAAATAAATCAACTTAAACAGTGAAGGTGAGCATCCAGTGTTTAGTGATGAATGCTGTGGCTAATAATTCTGGGGAATTACCTACCGATACACTAAGATAGATTGTGAGGTTTTCGCTGAAGTGACTTATATGACTGAAAATAGAGCAGCAGTCAGACTTGTGGAGACAAGAACACAGAGCGGCAAACGTAATCAACATACCAGAATGGGCTTTCAGACCGTTTGGATAAATTGTATTGGAATAGAGTCGTCTTTCTTCTTCGTACATTTTGATTTATTCTATTTTCCGTGCAAGAATCCAAATAAAGATGTCCTATAGCCCATTTATAGAAGAAATTTTCGGTTAATTAGGCAAATGAGTCAACAAAATCACCTGTGAGTCTACAAGCTCTCCATATTCACAGGTTGCAATCAGTAATTGTTTACTCATACCAAAAGTATCCTTGACGGTTGGCGGCGCGGTATTTGTCCCAATGGCGGAAACTGAAATTGAGGGTGAATTGCAAGTCTTCGGGCTTACCGTTGATGACAGACTTGTTGTTGAGAAACGTAGGTTCTCAGATGTGATAATGACTAAAATTAGTTAATATTTTAAAGGATAAATGGGGCTTGAACCCTGTTACGCTTGCTGAGAAGTATGTAGCATTTCAAAGAAATTCTGATCTTCCCGATCGCATTTCACAAAAGAATGTTGAACTGTTTGATAGAGAGGTATGATTTATTTTATCTTTTTATTTCGTAGACTTCAGCTAAGCTTGACGCTGTTAAAAGCAGAACTCCAAAAGCCCATGTTAACAGGTCTACTAAAAGTTTGTTGACGAAAAACATGGTTCAAGAACTGTATGTCTTTGTTTCTGCCACTTATTTTTCACAGGATGGCAGCAGAAGTCTGTGTTGATCAGCGCGATCTTCTAAGTTCTTACGGAGTCTCGAACTGTTTGCCCGTTATTACTCCAAAGCGTGTAATCACTCCATCTAACAAAGGTAAGCAGGAGAACTGACTTAACATAGCTGAATTTTAATTGTAGAAAATGAACCAGAAGTTGTGTCTCATGCAAACCAAATCATAGCTTCATACCCTACAGATACAACCGACCTACGTGGTGTTGAATTGTGTTCGGTTGCGTGGGTTCCAGTTTTACTGTCCACAGGAGCTGATAGTAGCCGATATATGAATCAACACGCTCTCGAAAATGCTGAGAGTAAGTTTTGTGTGTATTTCTCGTTCACATTGTGTTGGGGTGTAGTTTAACTGTTTCATGCTGTATCTATGTGAAGACCTATTGCTTATTAAAATAAACTTGACAACTAACGACCGTGGAAACGTAGAAGATAACAAATTACCGGTGTACTTTGAGGCAAGTAGAGTGACTCCGCTGTGGTAGCATACAACTCATCTCTTTGTAGAATAGAAAACTCTGTGTTCCCGCCGAATTTGTCATCAGTGAACAATGTTCACAAAATGCAGTGTTTTAAACATTCTGTAGGTCTTACGTGCCTAACATATGTTTTTCTCGGTTGTCTAAGATATTGTTACAATATTATGGTTTTCAAGGCCTTCCATATCAAAAGAGGGGTTTGAATACCTGCGTGAATACCGTGATAACATACATCGTGAATAGGAAAGTTTATTCACCAGTCATCACATTATTCCCACTTCTCCTACTGTTGCATATCTAGTTGTGCTGTCGTCGTACTTCTTTCCAGCACACCTTTGCCCTGTTATTAATGTCTGATACACTTCGACGCAAAGTTCTACAATAGTATATCCACTTACCATAGAAATTGGTGTTATAGGGTGACTTCACTTGTTGAGTGAAGGTCTGCATTTTCTAATTCTATGCTAACATGGAGTTTACCTAGTTCTGTCACCGGATGATAATTGATGTGCTTTTTTATGTCGTATTGCGATGTGATTTCCGTAGCCACATGCCAAAGACTGGAAAAAACCCATCTATATCCAAATTTCACCCCGCACAGAAATGCGCTAGTCAATTTGTTGCGCTAAACGTTCCAGGTTTGGTTGACTCTTGGGGAAAGATATGGGTTCAGACATTGTGGTGCAGAAGCTCACCTTCATTTGTATGAAGAAGGATGTAGTCTTGCTATAGCTTCTGTGTGTCTCGTGTTTCCTCAATAAAATTGTTATGGTTGACTTCTTTTTCATTTCCTTCCCGCTCTTAATGGTTATTTAAGCTGAATATCTTTGTCTGAACTCAGTTACCGGAACAGACTTTCATTATTTCAAGCTAAGCCACACTTTTTCTGAAGGTTGATGGTACTATCCAGTTGCTTTGTCTGAAGTAGGTGGAATGGAACTCGAAGCCGAAAACTCACTGGTAGGAAGTCAAGTGGTTAAGCTAATGAGCCACGACCCCACAATTAATTAACCAGTTGATGACGTGATGTAAAACTTTGCTTAGGAATGCATAAATTCAAGGCGTTACTCCTCGTAAAAGCGAAATATAGGGTAGAAAAGTAGATTGCTCTTCACTTTACTTCTTCATAAGTAGTCGGATGTCATACTGATATTAGATGGCGTGGGTTTATCAGTATCAAACGGGGTTCTGTGTCTCTGTTAGGACTTCATTAGCAACCAGTCTATTATTATTGGCGTGACTTCAATTAAGTGTCTGCGCCCGCAGTCTGCTGTGTGGATCAATTTATAAGTACTCGAAGCTAGGTGGAGTATGCTCTATTGATAAATAACATTAAGACTTATTAACTATAATTCTATCACAACTTGGCTAAGTGGTTTTTGATTGGCTTTTAAGAAGTGTATCATAACTTTCTTTTTACACAGTTCTTGACAATTGGACATGGGAAATCGTCAAACGTGTTTTAAGTTCATTACCTGAGGAGTTAATTACTGAAAGTGATCAAAACACTCTACAATCATCCCAATCTACAAATCGGTAATTTTCAATTGTAAATTTGTATATTTCCCTTACAATTTCCACATATTGTTCACGCATGTCAGTATTGAATGTGATATATATATATATATATATATATATATATGAGCAATACATAAATTAAACGTATGGTTTTAAATCTGGAAATGCAAAACCATTCTTGCAGAATCTTGAATGTTTTTTAGCTAAGAAGCACAAAGGCACTTATTTTGTGGTTTGTAAACGTTATTTCGTTGTTTACGTGCATTTAAACATCTAAAAGAAGAGTGAAGACTTTATGAATGGAAACTTCAGTTTCGTAAAAGCATTTGGGTGGTAAACATCTATTCAAATAATCGTGAACTGTGGTACTGTTTCATAGATACATTAGTGTTTCTTTTTGAACCGTGAGCACTAATGTAAGTGAAAACATTTAGTGCTGTATCTGCTTTATTATTATGCACATGTTCCTAGTTAATTGTCGATACAACATGCAGACATTGCTTTTTATTATACCACAAAATTGGCACTTTATAGGCACCAAGAGATTCGTTACACATAATCTCACAGTTTGTACGAGGCCTAGGATACTGCTTGAACTCCCAGACCGAAGCAGGTTTTAACTGTCCATCTCCTGATCCACTAGGCAGTGGAGCAGCATCAGGAACTACATTCCCTTAGTGTCTGGTGACCAAAACAGGTTCATACATCAGTCATTTTGGATTCTGAGGTGATCTACACCATAAGTTTGGAATCAGGGTTTTCCAGCTCCCCTAGGCATATCAACATATCCACCAGTCTGGTTGTAAACTCCAGATGTTCTCATTGGCCCTTTCACTTTTGTGTCAAATCCCCCAACCATGGAGTCAAGCCAATGAACAGGAGTTACCTGGCAGCGAATATGAGCGCATGGCTACGCGACAGCCTTTCGAGAGGAAGATCGAAGTCCATCCATCCTGGGCCGTACCAAGTCTTTTATGAGGACTAACAGGTAAATATCACCTTAACGATACCATTATTCAATTAGGTTTTGCACTTTTTTGAGTTTGTGTATTTAAATAGTCGTTGGGACCGCCAATTCCCCTGAAATACTGTCAAATTCATGTGTATGCTGTTATCTGCTCCTAGAACATAATGCACAGTCACCATATATGTAATAAATATTTTATAATATTTTCCTATCGGATTCGTCTTTACCAAATTTAAGATCCAATTCTTCTGATCTGCTTTTACTCAACAGTTGATTTATATTCATTTTATAGTGTGTGATTTACTACATATATTCGCTATAATACATTTAGATTTTCTCGTTTTCATTGTTTAGTGATTCACTTCAGTCACTGATATATAAAAGTGATGCTTCACAATTGTCAAAAACTGAAACTACAGTATTAGAGCGTACTATGGTGTTACGACCGGTTTTTTCACGTGTTCAGGCCCCATCTTTAATTTCGGGTAGAGTTTCAGTCAAAATGACAGCTGCTAACAAGGAATCTATTGAGTTTTCCCAGAGTGATGCGAATCAAAAGCCTGCAACTAAGACTAAAACACGTTTACAATTATCAAATATTGGACTGATTGGACTTCGTCGAGTTGAACGATCAGGGTTTGAAACAGATGCTGTACATTTAGATTTAGGATTTTCAAAAGATCTGTCTTGTTATTCTGTTTACTCAGGTCAGCCACTTTTGATTCGTGGTGTTAATCCTACTGGTCAATCACTGGGTGCAATGGAAATTTATCAGGTTTGTTGAATAAATACATATTATCGAACAACATTGGTTACGATAAATGAGGTATAACCATTTACTTAGTTTGATTTTCATCCTGATGGGTTTTTAATCATTCGTTCTGCGCCAAAAGTAAACTAGATGATTAGAAGTCACGTATCTTGACTTTTATGTCTCCTATCATCATAATCTAACTTCCTTTATAGATGCATGTGGTTATGCACTTGTAACTGCTGTAATCTTCAACCTCCTTACTGCACATAATCTCCCACCATACGTTTTATCACTGACTGACTGAGACTGAGTTTCAACCTAGAATATTGCACTGAAGTAAATTAATTCAATTTTCCACACCGTGTAGCAGACAAAGATAGAGAAAAGAAAAATGTATTTATCAATCCAATATTTTATTTCATCAGATTTTATAATACAAAAATACTAGGCAAATGCTCATTATAACAAAAAACCCATTAGTATTTAACAAATAAGGCTGAAAAAATATACCTAAGTTAATGGGGTAAGGGATTTTGTGATATAAGCTCATTATATCATGTTAAGTATTTTTCAGCATAACAAAAACAGACATGACCAAATAACATAGGTAAATCGAGAAGAGATATCAGGGTGTAAAAGCAATGTTGAGGATGTATGCTATGATAGTCAAGGCAATGCTATTGAACTTATGCGTATAGGTAAGATTTTACATAGAGGTTTAATTTGGTGTGGCGTCCGTCAGAGAATTCCAGTGATATTATTTCTACATGGTTTTATCAAAGAATGTGTTCACTACATAAAAGCTTTTTGTGTTATGTTTTACGGCATGAATAGTGAAAGTAAAAAATAAATAAAGATAACTACTTTTCGACTGTAACTTCCTTCGTTCTCTTATTTTTGTGAGGTACAATTAAAGTATCTATAGTGTTAAAATAGGAGGGTGAGTGTAAGGTAAAGAAAATAACTTAATTGAAGAAATCACTAATTTTTATCAAATCAGTTGGCTGAGACATGGACTACACATACTGAAATAAGTCTCTGATGAATAATGTAAGTTGAAGGAAACTTCTGGATGATGATGGTTGGACAAAACAAGAATGCATGAAGTCTTTGACTTGGTGTGAGCTATGCAGGGCTGTATTAGTTTTCTGCACAGGGTGGCTGTAATGTTAAAGGTCATCAATTAGAGATGGTTAGTAACTTAACAGTATATTTTCGACACTGTGAGGGATATTATTGGCCCATACTGCTTTCAAAATTGTGCATGTTTCCACCAATGTTTGTTTGTTTTTCCCTCACATGTATGCTTGTTAATTGTGGTAGCATTTCTGGATTTTTTGTCATTTTAATCTGCTGACCAGTGTATTTACATGTAGGGTTTCAGATTGGCATATCTTTTTGGCCCCTCTCATTTGTTTGTGGGAGTTATAGTAAGATTAGGGATTATAATATGAGGATGATTTTTCCCCCACACTTTTTAACAACACAGCGGTCATCGAATTATGATAGGTAAGAAATCTTGTGAAGGTACAGGTGTGAAGCAACCTTGATGGAGTAACGAAGGAATGCTTACGATAGAGACGGGTTTGAGTTCAGTTTACCTCTGCTTATTTGTTGGATTTGGTGGGGGGAGGGAGGGACAAAGTTGTGATAAGAAGGGTGAACGTATAATCACAACAATCGAGTTCCATAAACAACATTGATAGTCTGAATGTAACATAGTTTTACAGATTGAATCTACTGTAAATTTAATGTCTGTGCAGGTGTATTGCATTCAGAATTTAGGCTTAAACTTATGATTCGCCATATCTTCTCTTGTGGCGTGATGAAATGTTATCCGTGCATTTTCCAGATGATTTCTGAGTCTTTTATGGGTGACATTGAGTTTATTAGGTCTTTATTTAGTATATTACATAATCTAGCTTTTTATTTAAAAATTTAGTCTGTCTTTGGATTTGAGCTGTTAAGAAACCTAATAGAATTCCTATTTAAACACACTTGAAAATATTCCATTATTTTATCAAGTAGACGTAACATATGCGATTACACAGGATGTGAATAAATAACTGAAAAAAGTCACTTTTCACTGTGAATGTGGTTTTGTTTGTCTTTAATTTAACTTATACATGTTTTAAATATTTTCTAGATACCTGTATTGAAACCACCGAATATTAATCCGGATAACTGCTGTGAGTTCACTTATTCTACATTATTTTTTTCACCAATGATAAGTTTTATTTCATATTTATTTCTTGGTGTACAATTTATACCGTTAATTTTTAGGCAAAAGTATCTCCTGTTAACAAAAGTTAATAATTCACTTTTATCATTTATAGTGATAAAGAAATCGTTGTCTATAAGAGAATAAGAACATATATTCTGTTGACAGTATTTAGACAGCAGGTTCAAAATTATGCATTGATGGTTCAGTGGTAGAATGTTCGCCAACCACAGACGGAAGGTCTTAGTTCGATTCCCGGCTGACACATCCCACCCTGTAAAATCAACAACCCCACTGTTATCCAAACTGCCTATTTCCTAATTTAATTTCAGTAATGCATTTTGACTATACATTTAAATGACATATTTTATGTTTAAATCATTCTCTTTTTTCTTCATTTATAGTGGGTAATTTACACGTTATGATCGCTTGTGGTCCGTATACACTCTCCAACACGCATGATCCTACAGGTCTTTTTAATTTATTACGCTGTGTTAAACAGTCTAAGCCTAATGTTCTAATCCTACTTGGACCATTTGTTGATTCAGAACATCCTAGTATCCAGGTAATTAATTATTAAATCCTCTCACTTGCCTACCTTTTCTTATAAATAACATCTTTGCATTTAATAATAGAAGCAAAAGTAATCTGAGCAAACCTCGACAATCGTGTTATTATCGTTCAACAGAATTGATGTTTATATGTGCTACAACTATTAAACAAACACATGTTACGTGTTTTTAAAGTCGAAAATTGTTTTTCAGAATGATTCGGAAATGTTGCGTAACAACCAGGGGTATTTCCATGTAATTGGCGATGAGCTACATCTATCGTATGAAGGTTACTGATACTGCTTGGCTTCCCAAACCTTGGTAGGTGAGGCGGGGTTTGAACACATGGTTCACTGGTTGGAGGTTGAGGTCACCTAGATCGATGAACCATAGTTCCAAGCTTTGGTTCAGCGCTGGTTCGAACGAGGGAATTTGTGCGTTTAAGTTAGACATATGCAGGAGAAAGTGGAGATGGATTGGACACTCGCTGAGGAGGCCGCTGGGTGACGTCGCGCGTCAGGCCCTCAAGTGGAACCCAAAAGGGAAGCGGCGAGTGGGACATCCAAGGATGACATGGAGGAGATCGTGTGAAGAAGAGTTGAAACAGTATGGACTAACATGGATGCAGGTGAAAAGTACAGCAGAAGACAGGAGCGAGTGGAGACGTGCAGTTGAAGCCTTATGTTCCAATAGGAACCCAAGGGAACAATAATAATAAGTTAGACATGCTGATCACCACACTACCGAGCTGGATGATTCTGTTTAATTAGAGATGGTAGTTTTTAAAAAAGTCATTTCTTATCGTAATTACCTCCATTCCTAAACCGTATGATTGAATGATGTTTTTTTATGTAACATATGGTGATACGTTATTATTTTACTGAATAATATTTTGAAGAGTAACTTTGAATGATTTCTGGTGATAAATTTTGTCCCGAAACTTCTTCGCTGCATTACAGTAAGTAAAGTAATCAACAGCCATATAAAGGACGGACATTGAGAAATAATTTCATTCTCTTCTAAGAAAGAGAGAGGTGTTTAGTATAAATATGTAAGTAATAAATATCGCAGTGAATCCAACATCAACATCAACGGAGGATGCAAATCACATATATTACTGAAAACTACTTCTGTTTACTTTTAGAAAGACTAGCACACTTAAAGCTAGCTACTTGGACGAAGTGGTAATACTAGAAATCGAACTTTCAATTTGCAAGTTTACTCGCAACTTATACAGTTCGACCACATTATGTGATCTACTTGATACCATAAATGGTAATCAAGATTGCAAGCATGAATGCACGAAACTTTATACTTCTGATTGATAGAGATGAGTAATTGGAAATCAGTCACATCAACCGGTAGTGTTTGCTAGCAGATTGAAGTGATCTAATTATTGAAGCGCCCCTTGTCTCGTTCGGAGCGGAGCTCTTCGGCGGTACACCCTATTTGACTGAGCTAAGAGAGCTGAATCAGTTCAAACCATCCATTATTTTGGTCAGTTACTTAGATGATTCGATTAGCAAGCATTACTGGTTGACGTGAGTTGTATACAACTACTCATTTCCGTAAATCAGTAGCATATAGTTTCGTGCATTTATGCTTGCATTCTTGATTAACACTTTTGGTATCAAGTAGATCACATAATGTGGTCTACATAAGTTTGGATTCCGAAGGAATTCTCACCTCGAACTGTGTAAGTTGCGAGTAAACTTGTAAATTGAAAGTTTGATTTATAGCACATTTAAGGTTGTTTTAATTTTACTTTAAAATTTTCAAATTTGTATGTAAGATGAGTTGCATCCCTTAAATAAAGTCAGACAATGATTATCTTTGTTATATTTATTCGTAGGTGAAAGCCTACGGAAAGTTGTCATGTGAAGTAGTGACAACCAGTGGTGTCCATCAGGAATGCCTTCTGTCTCCATTTTGGTTTCATTTCAGTGTAGATGTACTAATGTATTTAACCCAAACTGATTTCAGCGACTCAGGGATTGACTCGTCACCATCATGGAATAATCTCGTTGACTTATTATATGCAGATGATGTAGTCCTTCTAGGTGAAGACGCTGACAAAATGCAGAGTCTTCTGAACACCTTGAGCATGCGATTCGCTCCCTCCAAATGTAAAGGGATACTACAGGGCTAGACTACATTGACTCATGCCTAGCTTGAACATGGCGAGTGAAGTGGTAGGACGTGTTGACCACTTCACTTATTTCGGAAGCTGCATTAAGCCCCAACGGGTTGATCACTGATGAAATCTCAGCACGGATACAGAAGGCTCGGTTCATATATGCCAGTTTACGCCGTCTCTGACGTAGACGTGATATCTGGCTGGCTATCGACCAAAGGGCGTGTGTACTGCTCAGCAGTCCGCTCCGTCCTCCTTTATGGCTGTGACAACTGGCCATTGAGAGTGGAGGACATGAAAAGACTAGCTGTCTTTGATCATAAGTGCCTGCTTTCTATCCCCCGTGGGGAAGTCAGTCGACGAGACTGTGAAGCTACATAGGTTGAGGTGGTTAGGACATGTGTTACGCATGCATGCCTAGTTATCGTCTTCCTCCACCGACGGACAATGTTAGCGGACATAGGATGGATCAGTTTGGGAAAGAGCTAGTGGTGGTCAAACCAAAACATCGCGTCATCAGTCAATGAAATCCATAGGAGTTAGTTTTAGCCAGCCACTTAGGGAAGTGCAGAACGTCAGTCGGGTTGGGGTCCTCGGGATAGTAAAAACCATTGGCTGGTGACAATCGGTGATATGGCTCAAATTCTTTCTCGATGATGGCACAGACGCATTCACTCTTTGTGATTTATAATATCCAATAAAATTCTATTGTTCTTTCATACTACTAATCTTGTTGCCTCATATTTTTGTTTATTATCTATCTTTACTCTCTTCTCTTGGTTTGTGTGTTACATGGAGGGAGAGTGGCGACTCGAACTTCTGCACATCTGTGCAAAGTTGTACGTTGAAACCAGTCAGTCATATTTGTTCGTTAGTTATCAACAGACATATTTATTTCGTGTATGAAATCTTGTCAGAAGTGGTGAAAAAGCTGTTAATCTGTTGAACTCTAAATAATGAGGACATCAAAATACCTCCAACTTTAAAAGATGTCAGTGTAATTCTGTGATTCTTAAATGTTGGTCTGCAGAGGTTTGATTGATTTCAAGATTGATTAGAAACTGACTTCAGTTAGAGAACCATTGAAAACCAAGAATCTGGACCTTAACCTGAACGTCTGGTGTTCATCTCCATTAGGATCATTGATGAGTAGGACTGAAGATTCTTGAGCAAAGGCAAAACAACTGTCCAGTACTCCCTGGTTTCTAGTGGTTCTCTTGCTGAAGTTAGTTCATGATCAATCTCAAAATTCTGTAAGTGGAGTATTCTATTGGGATCTGAGTAATATGAAAGTATTTCTTAGTGAATTTTATTCATTCTTTATTCCTACAATATTCTGAGCACTCAAATTATTTTAAACTATATCGGTAGGATGTAATCTATGTGTCCGTTGAAAATATACTTTTCCCCTTTTTCAAACTTCCTTTAGTCTTATTCTGAGACAACATACGAAGAATTATTTCAATCACGAGTGAATAGTATTAGTGAATGGTGTAATCATTTATCTGTGAAGCTGATAATCGTGTCTTCATGGAGAGAATTACACCATGATCCAGTGTATCCAACCCCACCGATTGATAAATCATGGACACAAAAAACACCTGATCTGGTAAGGCTTGAGATTTTGCATGATATTTTATTATGTATTGTTCTTTGTTAGACAAATATGAAAGTCTTAGTTTACTAATAGTTGGAATTCGTGGGTCATTGGGTCGAGTCCCAATGACTTAGTGGTCTATGAGCTCACATTGTAACCAGAAGGTCCTAGGTTCGAGTCCCGGTGGGTGCGTACTGATGAAGAGTCCCAAACTAGGACGGAATAGCTGTCCAGTACTCCCTGTAGGTTTTCCAGTGGTTCTTTAACTGATGTCAGCTTATGATGAAATCCTGTAACCAAACATATAGTTAAGTTTAGATTGTAGGAATGCGATTTCCACTAGATAGCTGCAGTCATCACTTCCTTTTTGTAAACACAGACAGATGTAGGCCCACAGTTGAAGCTATTCACAGCAGCATTTTGTGTCATGCATTATGGCAGAAAATAAGAAAGAACTACTTATTTTTGATTGTAGCTTGCTTAGTTCTCTTATTTCCGTCAGGTAGGATCAGAGAGTTTATAGTGTGGAAATAGGAGGTCGAATGTAATACGAGGGAAATAACTCAATCGAAGAAATCACGAGTTTTTATCAAATCAGTTGGTTAAGACATGGGTTAACCGGACTGCAGCAAGTCTTTGAAAGAATGTTCCGGGTGTTAATAGTTGAACAAAATAAGAATGCATGAAGTTTCTGACTTGGTGTGAGTTATGCAAAGCTGTATTGGTTTTCTGCATAGAGTGACTGTTATGTTAGAGGTGACTGACTGGAGACTGTTCATTACTCAAATGTGTATTGTTGATACTGGCGTGTATGTAGATCGGGATCAGTTAGGTTATCAGAACATCAAAATTTAGCTAGATGCCGCTAAGTTAGATAATCATGAAGAAAACTCGACCATTGTTATATATGTAATCATACAGTAGAGAAGGATAGGGCAAAAATATTTGAAAAAAGTAATACAGTTAACCGGAGAAAGGCTAATTACCGAATCTTTGTTCATCGAGTCAACTACCAAAATACACGCATTAGGAATGACGCAACACTTATTTGGATTTGTGCAAAATTTCATATAAAAAACAACAGGTAATAAAGAAGGCCTGTATGAAGCAAGTGATGAAGTTGTATGAATATACACTGATATGATTATGAGCAATAAGTTGTACTTGAAGCGTCACCCAGTTATTAATTAATACTACGTATCACCCGTGTGTTATATCAAATAGACTTATCCTAATACAAATGTATGTTCTGCTATACAGTGAGAACACTTTCATTTAGTTATTATCCTTCCTTTCACACATGTGTTTGTTGATTGTATTATAATTTCTCTATCTGTTGATATAAGTATAAAACTTGAGCACTATGGTAGAGTATAACTCCATTATGGATAAGATTTTATTTTGATAAATCACACAGTGTTATACAGTAATATTAATCATACGATATGATTATGAACAATAGTTTGTGCTCGAAACGTCATCAGTTAATATGACTGTATGACACTGTGTGATTTATCAAAATAAAATCTTATCCATAACTTCTCCATCTGTGGTCCTCTTTATGTGCTTATTGACATCTTGGACTGATATATTTTCGTAGAGGATTTAATCTTTGTCCACGTCTACCTATTCATTTGCTGAGTTACTGAACCATAAGGGATTGAAATAATAGGTAGTAATTAAATGTAAAAGAAATTGCTCTAAGTAATTGCTGAAGTAATCTATGTAGGTGGAGAGAGAGAGAGATTGATTACTGAATCCTGGTTCATTGAGTCTACATCCAACACATGCAACAGAAATGACTCAATGCAAATACCAGAAATATGGAAGATATTATTACCGCCAGTCAAATCAGAGGAGGATAATAAATAATCTCAAAATTCTATTTCAATTCAAGCACATCACAACATTCTAACAAGTTACTTATTATAACTATAAGAACACTCGTCTTATTTCTCATCTGATTGTATTTGATTGATAACACTCATATTATTATTTCTAAATGTACATTATCCTATATTGATTTTATTCAAATATCTGGTCAATTCCACACATGTATATAAATGAAGGGAGAAAGTTGTGTGAGTGAGTAACTTGATATGATTATGAGCAATAATTTGTGCTCGAAACGTCATCAGTTAATATTACTGTGCAACACTGTGTGACTTATCAAAATAAAATCTTATCTATAATGGAGTTATACCCTACCACAGTGCCCAATTTTTATACTTATATCGAAATTGCTGTAAGGATTGTGATTGCTCCTCTGGGAAACTGAAGGAATGCACAGATAGACTAGATAACATTCTAGTAAGGTTCAATTGAATTTTAGCTTTTCCCGTCGATGGATTGGACCGAAGTGCTCGGTCTCAGGTTGACATGTCGGCTTCTTGAGCAGATGCTTCGACGATGTCTGGGCATTTAATTAGTATTTAACTGGTGGATGGTGACTAGCAGTAGAATCCAGGGTGTGCATTTCGTCCTATTTGGGACTCCTCAGCTGGATGTACATGCGTTTCTCAGTGAGTAATGCAGGTACATCCAGATGACGAGTCCCAAACGAAATACGCATCCTGGATTCCAATGCTAGTCACCATCAACCAATTAAATTCTCTTAAGGTTGTTATCACTTTTTAGCCAAAGAGAGCTTGATCATTAAGAATATATGAATTATCGGTAGAATAATCAACAGATGTGAAAGGATGAGTAGGTTACGAACCTGTGAGTTTAACTTCAGTGAATAATATACTTCTCTTCTGACCTTCAAACAATAAAATGGGAGACAATCAACGAATACTTGGTTTTGATAAGAGTAGTCAGAAAGCAGTTCTTCATAGCTTTGATTTTTGTAATCTTTCAATGGTTTTTGAAAAAAAATAATCTCTGTGTTTTCTTTTTTTCTAGTTGTCATCATATGAAAACGTGCTATTCGCGCCTGACCCTTGTCTCATTCAAATTGGCGATTATGTTTTCGGTATTACATCTGTTGATGTACTCAAAGATCTAAGTAGTGAAGAAATTAGCTCTGGGTAGGTAATGTGTTTACATTTAAAATTGATGAAAAATACCCATTAAAGTTTTTTAGACAACTGAGTGTAGCGAACAAAGAATACTTTTTTTGGATATCTTCTTCATCAGGTTCTACAGTTATATATACATAATAATTAAATGATTATTGTTATTAACAATATTAATATTTTAAATAGCACTCAATCAGTAATATCCATAGATTACACTTCGAAAGCATCTGTAAGTGTTCATATACCTGTTTGAACGAGGTGATCGAATATCTAGCTGTTGATGACTTTTACTGCACTTTTGTTTAGCTGCTCTGGTAGGTGTTCCCGAGAACGAGAAATTGAATTCATAGAGTAACGACCAATATAACCGGCTCCACAGGAGTAGTTGAATTTATGGATGCATTAAGAGGTTGCTAGCCTAGGGACTTCGTATATTAGTTGGGGAATCACATCCGGTCGTGTAGAAAGTAAGACTTGTAGTTTACCAGCATTAAAAGTCCTTCGAATAAATCTTCTCAACTTGTTGATTAGTATTCGCTTGGTGATTACTGATCTTTTAAACAATTTCGTAGATGTGCTAAACAATTTTTCTTTTACGACGCTTAAACTGTTTCAGCCCACTTTTGTCGACTGTAAAATATTTGTATTTAAATAACTCAGTTTCGTGATACAAATTATTCAGAAAATATGCATTCTGTTTATAGTTATATATCTTACTTGGAGGGTATATGTTATGGTTGAGGTAGAACTGGCTGTGACTTCGTTCTAATTGCGATAATTCGAAATACAACAAATATATTATTGATCTGTTGGTATTAGATGGTTGGAGGCAATCGACAGGAAACCTTGGACCTAGGTTTTGGGCTAGTTGGCACTCACCAGTCAGCAAGGTGTATCTGCAGCCTTGAAGGAACTCATTTCCCTTCTGAGATTTGAACTGGCATCACCCAGTGCTGCAGTCAGAGACGCTACCACTGGGCTATTTGGGCTCGCGATTGACCTCCTATAGGACTCTATTTGATATTTTTGATTGGACACTAATCAGTAACTGATGTAGTGTGTCTAGTTATATCTTTGGCGCAGACTAAATTCTATCAGTCATGTTTACAATGTGACCACCATGCTAGGTGACGCAGGTTCGAGTCTCAGAAGGGAAGTGAGTTCCGTCGAGGTTGCAGATGCGCTTTGCTGACGAGTACCAACTAGAACGAAACCTAGGTTCAAGGTTTCCTGCCGATCGCCTCCGACCACGTAATACCAACAATTTACAGGACACCATGATGGCGAGCCACCTAGCATAGTGGCCAAATCGCAAACTTGACTGATAAAATTCATTGTGCACCAAAGATAGAACTGGACACACACATTACACTAGTTACCGACTAGTGTCCAATCAAAAACATGATTGATCTGTTCACTGTTTACAGATCATTTGGGAAACACTAACTCATGTGTCTCCTCCTTTCCTAACAGTAGATCAGTGTTCTGTCTGTTATTGTAACGATTTTTCGACGAGATATAATAAAAGACATCGATATTAAACCGTCTTTCTAATCCCGCGTGCTCAACAAATTTGGATGCTTGAGAAATGTAACTATAAATCTTCATAATCATACACTGGATATTTGTTCTTAGATTGTCAAGATACTTTTTTTTAATGTTTCATCACGGATTGATATTACTCAATGAACCACTGAAAAAACCAGGAAGTATTGGACAGGGGTTACGTCCTACTTAGGTGCTCTTCAATAGTACACACCCATGATCCCACCTCCAGGGATCGAACCCATGACCTTTAAGGTTACTAGACTACCTCGTTGGGTATTCAGCCACAGGGACGGAGTCCAATCGTTCATGAATTCTAACTGCTATCAACTGGGGGTTCTTATCACCGCAATCAGTCAATATCATCGGTGAGTATTTGTCCTCATATCCGACCCGATGGATCTCACTGACCAAACTCAAAACCAGTCAAATCCCTACAAACTAACAATTGAAAATAGTTTTTCTTTCTAATAATCATTATTTTTATATTTTTGTAAATGAGTTATATTATATTTCTCCATTGTTTTGTTTTACTTCTTAAACCATACTTTCAGTTGTTCTGGTAGTGATAGAATTACACGTTTATGCCGTCATATTCTTGCCTCTGGATCATTTTATCCAGTACATCCACCTGATGATGATTTACCACTGGATTATCCTTTATGGAATCAGTTTGCTCAATTCTCAGTCACTCCGCATTGTTTAATTCTACCGTCAAAATTGCGTCAATTCGCAAAGGTATGTTTCTTTTCTGTTTGTTTCACCTTACATGATGTGTTTCCTGTTTATCGAACGTTTACAGTTGCGACACAGTGCGCTTGCTTGACCCAATTGTTAAAAGTTAAATAGATGGAATCATTGAGTAACAAAATCATCACTATAGTAGTTTATTGATTACTCAGTTCTAGACATGTTTTAACACTAGTTAATCGTTAAATGATAACCAGATGTGTATTGATTCTGAGTACACTGTTAGTCGTTTAAGTATAACACTGCTTTTTGATTTTGCAAAAATATTGCACTATCACTAACTTTTGTTTGGTGTCGTGTGTGCATAGCTGACTGACTGAGTTTCAACGTGGAATTTAGCGCAGAAGTGCAACACTTCAAGTTGCCACACTCCATAAAGCACACAAAGGGAGAAAAAAAGAGATTCAAAAGAGAACTACAGTGAGCAGAAATGTGAGGGAGAAAGAATAATAACATGGAAGAACATGAGGGTTTAATGGATTTGGGAGATAACAAAGAGTGCCATTGATAACAATTTTGAGCCATATCACCAATAGTCTCCAACCAATGGTTCATAGCATCCTGAGAAACCTAACCAGGCATTCTACACCTCCTTAAGTGGCTGGCTTAAACCAACTGTTAAAGACTTCATGAATTGACGTCAGTCTTTGATTGACCGATCAATAACTCTCTCAACCTAATCCTGTGCCAGCATTGCCAACATTGCCTATCGAGGAAGGCAGTGACTCGGCATGCACAACACGTATCACAGCCACCTCAGTCATTGGAGTTTTACAACCTCATCTGTCGAGCTACCCTCCTTACTTAACACTCTACACCTAACCTCGACATTGCTCACTATATAATGCCAGTTTAATACTGGAGATGGAGGGCAAACATCTGTAGTCATATACAGCTAGCTCTTCCGTATCTTCCAATTTCATTGGCCACGTCTCACAGCCATAAAGATGGACAAAGCAAACTGCTGTTCAGCATGTGTTTATGAAGAAGGGACGGGTAGTGTGTTTCACAACTGGTACTGAAGGAACTGAACTGGACGGAATTTTCAACGTAGATCCTTTCACAAAAATGCGGCACTTGAAGTTGCCACACCACATATCGCACAAAGGTAGAGAGAGAAAAACTGAAATGCTGAAAATCCATAATAAGTGGAAGTTTATAGGAAGAAGAATAATTATCTGGAGAATAATAAGAATCCAATTCATCTTGAAAGTTCATAAAGTGTAAGTGTATCTACACTAGTGCTAACGACTTCGGGCTAAGTCACTGACAGTCTTTAGTATTTGGATAACTCAACCCAACCAGTCACCCAAGGAGGTGTAGACTTTCTAAACCTCCTTAGGTGACTGGCTTGAACTAACTACCGACGACTTTATGGATTGATGTCATATTTTGGCCCAACCACCTCTGAGTCGTTTCCAACGTAACCCTATTTCGACTAGTATTCAAACAATACGCAAAATATTTGTATAGAATACTTTAAGCACTTTAACATGTAATTTGGGTTTTATCTCAATTATACTTTATATTCCTTAAAGCATTAACACACCTACAGGTTATTTTACACGGTTGGTTGTTTTAGTACGTCGTATTATTGATCGGTTGTATTCTTCATTTTTGTTTATTGATAAAAATTCGTTCAAGTTAAATCGGAATACTTTTGGGTTTTCGTGTTACCTATATTCTTCTAGATATTATTATCGAAGTATAGCACTGGTTTGTATATGATGCTTTTTCATGCATCCCTATCTCATATCATGTTGTATTGAAATCACAATAGCATTCAATTGTACGTGTTTTAAGCCAACCTGTAGTGCACTACAAAAATCATATAATCAGCGCCAAGTAAATTATATCTGTCTAGAATTATTTATGTTATTTCGACGACTTGTAGAAAAATTATGCATATCATAATTATGTGCACATTAAGTTGCCTTAATTTCAAAAAGCGTTTTTTACATACTATGTATCTCCGTTCACAAATTGAAGTAACTAGAAAGGAAAGTTTTGTGGTTTAACAGGAAGTGTGTGTGTGGTTAATACTTCCTAGTTGCCCACACTATAGAAGTTGATTTATTCTTCAACTACATTAACAAAAAGAGCACTAGTGTTGTGTGACCGACGACGAGTCCAAGGACAACTACTTGAGATCAGTCGCATACGGCCTATTTTAGGTGGTTTTGGAGTTGGCTCCTTATTAAAATCTTACCTATAGCTATGGAACGCTACAAGATAAGTTGGGATGTACAATTTTCGGGGTCAACCCTTTCTACTTTCCACTCCCTAGAACGGAAATGCAGTATAGGCGACTTTCTCGTTGTCCCTGTTCACCAATAATACAGCCTTACCTTCAGGTCACAACTATGATGATAACTGCTTTCAGCCTAATCGCTGTCGGGCAAATTTTGTCGGCCTGGTAGGACCTGTAGAAATATTCATTCCAGCTAACATGTCTCTTCGGAGGTCACTGGGATATGTAAGCCCAATCACCATGTCAAGATAGCAGCTGTCAAGCTGGGAGACAAATGAAACAGGTTTGTGAAGTTGGGGATTAGTCGTTTTATCTACTTTTTACTTATATACTTTGATTTCAATATATTTTTGATACATACACATTCTGATTTCTTGTGTTTTCCCCTTCTAGAATGTTGAAGGTATCCTATGCATTAATCCTGGTTATGTGTCTAGAGGAGAAGCATTTGGCAGTTATGCTGAAATGGTTGTTAATATGAATGAATTTACAAATACAAATGAAAATAATACTGACACCAACAACTCATCATCATATGTACCTAGTAGCAGCAGCAGCAGTAGTGATCTGTCATCCCAGGCTTCCGATACCAGCATATGTGGTCGCACATCTGTCTTGATCAAGCGCATTTAGATTTTATGTGGGAAAATTCTTTTCTTATTTGTTTGTTTATTTATCTATTTTATTAAACTTTTATGCTCGTTTTCCTTTTTCCTTTTCTAATTCAATGTGTATGGTATATGTCAGATTGCCTTACTTTTATAATCAATCTTTTTTTTTAAAAATTTCACTGTATTCTAACTGTGAATATATATTTTTGTAGGAAATTGTTCAAAATCTTTTATTTTTGTATTGCTTTTTGTAATTAGGAATATTTATGAAGGGAATCAGACATAATTGTCTATTCTCTTGTTTTTTTTATGAAGTAAATAAAGTTATTGACGTATCATCTATTGAGCAGTTAATTTCTCAGTATTCAGCGGGACTCGCATAGCTCACGTAATTTAGCTACTAATGGAATGTGATATCTAGATCTCTTGAATCTGTAAACTCTTTATGCAGGGAAACAATTAGGAACAGCCAAGTTTTATGTTAGTTGAATCGAATTCATCATTTGTCAATTACACAGTTCGAGGTGAGAATTCATGACAGTTTATTCAAATGAACTGTCGTCAAGATTTGACAGAATAGCTCTAAAATATTTGGGCGCCGAGTGAGAAGTAGACATTTGTAAAAAATTATATTTGTAAAGTCTCAGCGAGATTGAAATGAGTAATTCCAACGTTTCGTTCGGCAATCTGGTCCGAACTTCTTGACCAGATTGCCGAACGAAACGTTGGAATTACTCATTTCAATCTCGCTGAGACTTTACAAATATAATTTTTTACAAGACAGTTTAGTCTGGAAACCTGAAATATTCAGATAACAGTGTGTGTGTGTGTGATCTACTTGATAATATAAATACCAATCAAGGAAGCAAGCGAAGAGAATGATGGTACATACTACTGATTAGTGCAAGTAGTGTGAAACCAGTCACTTTGAGTAACAGTGCTTACTAGTCAAATCAATATGGCCTAAACACTGAATGGACGTTTCACTTCTTCAGAGTTGAGCTCAGTGGCAATGTACCTGTTTTGACTCAGTTCAGATCAGCCCACCTGATCAGAAAGCACTACCGCTTGACGTGAGTGGATCCTGGCAACTCACATCAATCAATTAGTAGCATATGTCATCCAAGTTTGTATTTATGCATTAAACGCAGGAGGAAAACTGACTAATCAATGATCGGGTATTCTCGGTTTTCAAACTATGCATCTTTTGACCAACCTAACCGGCCATTTGTAATTGTAATGACAACTTACTTCGACTAAGTAGTTATTCAATTTAAACCCAAGTATTTCTAGAGTTTTAATCCTGCCTTATATATATATATATACAAATTTCCTTGTTGGGGAAGTCTAAACATCAATGGGCCTCTTCGAGTGCTTGTTTCAGCTAGCTAAATAACAACGATGGTGTACAATCGCCAAATTGAACCTGTTGCTCGTATGCTAAATCATTTAGGTTTTTATCAGTAGGTGAGCACAACCGAACTAAATCCAAGCTTTACATATGAGACTTTATCTGGTGAATGAAAAAGCTTCAAATATATGACCGAGTTGGAGATTGAATTCGAAAATGTTGATTTTGGTAGGCTTTAAGTGAAGGCATTTTAAGATTCAAATTCTGTCCTTTCATTAGAAGTGGTTAAAATGAAAATCAATATTTTCCAGTCTCTTTTATATTTCACACCTTGACTTACTTTGGTATGTGGCGATTAGACTTATGAGAGGTAATTTCGTTTTTCATGCACCCATTCAGGATGGGTCAATTCATCTTTGACCCAGCACACATTTATTTATGTGGGAACTATAGGTACGATGTAGTTATGTCATATAAATTAACTCTAGTGTACTGATAGTTTCATGGTTCAGTGATACATGTAGTATAGTTGAATAAAGGTAGTTTTATAACCCATTCATATGTCTCGTATTCATATTTACGTTTTACCCGAGTTGGTCAGTTCCTTCCTAGTTATTTGACCAAAACATTAAGATAGCGTTAACCCCAGAAAAGGAGGATCACGTTGATCATCATTGTATCTAAAGTCGTAGGTTCAATAGTCATGTGTAGACTAAGCAGTGCTCGAAGGAAAGAAACCTGTGAAAACCAGTCACGCTTCAAATTCTGATGGGTGTGTATTTATGATGTTTTCACTCTTTAACAGCTTCTTGAACATAGACATGCTTACTAGCCTTCAACGTTTGCCATACTTCTTAATATGGAGGCTGGATTGAACTAAACAACTGAGAGGTGCTGTTGCAATATCTGCGGGTGAAGCGAGTATTTCACTCTGATCAAAGCACTATACTCGAACTCACACATCTATGTAAGAGCTTGTGGAGATTTGTCATTTGAAGTGTTGACAACCAATAGTGTCTGTCAAGGATGCTCAATACGTCTGTCTTTGGTTAATTTCGTCGCACATTATTAGATGTGAACCTAACCAAGTTGATTGACTCAGGGGTTGATTTGTAACCAGAGAACAGTCTTTTTGACTTATAGAAAAGAAAAGGCGTTCAGCAAAGAGTTACTCTTTTCGGCGATATCATTCTCCAGCTGTACAAACCGCAAATTTATAGTAATTTTTCTTGGCAACAAAAGGAATATTTCCAAAGATGTGTTAATGCAATTGTTAATTTTTGACAACAAATTACGTAATTTAGAAGGCGTTAATCGGTCAGAAACTAAAATAAAGTTACAAAAGTAGGTTGGGTGACGTAATCTAATTGCTAGGGTTCAATGAAAAATGAGAGTCAAGTTAATAATCTGAGTAGAATTCACTTGAAAATGAATGAGAGTTAAGTTGATGAGCTGAGTAGAATTTACTTAAAAATAAACGGAAATGAAGTTAGCAACAGTCGTCATGAGGGTAGAGATTTAATAGAGGGTGGGGGTAGAAAATAATGCAATTAAGAAACAGACAAACAAAGAAGAAAGAGGTAAGACAAAATTACGTATTTGGTGTTGAGATAGATCAGGACCATTGTATATTTAGTGGTGTGTGGATGATGTTGAACTCCTAGGCGAAGAGGCTGATAAAATATAGAAATGTTCGAATGTTTGACATGCGATTCGTTATTTTCAGACGTATGATTATGCTGCAGGACTGAACTGCACCAACTCCTAGCCTAATGAAAGGAAGTGAAGTAGTGGAACGTGTTGAACATTTTAGCCCCAATAGACTGATTTCTGAGGAAATCTCAACACGGACACAAATGGATCATGTGGTGTTTGCCAACTTACGTCATCTCTGGCGTAAACCTGATATCTAGGTATCGTTCAAGAGACGTTTAGTGCGCGACATTTTGCTTTATCCTTCCTTGTGGCTATGGTATGTAGCCGTTTCAAATGGAAGTCTTAGGGAGGCTAGCAGTCTTTGACCACAGTTATCTGTGTCCTGTCTCCCGTGTTAAGTGTCATAATATAGCGAGTAATATTGAGATTAGACTTAGAGTCCTAGGTAAGGTAAGTAGATTATTCGATGAGGTAGTGAAGCTGCATCTATCGAGATGGCTAGAACATGTATTACACATGCCCAGCCATTCCCTTCCCGGTCAAGCATTGTTAGCTGACTTAGGATTAGGTTGGAGAAGAGTTGGGAGTAGTCAAACCAAAACCTGAGATCAATCCATGGGGTCTTTAACAGTTGGTTTGAGCCATGTAGGGAGGTGTCAAGTGCCTGGCTAAGGTCGTACAGACACTAAGACCCAAAGGCTGGAAACTACTGGTGACATGCGTCAAATTCTTTCTCGATACATTTACTCTTTCTGAACTCCTAAATCAAATTACATAGTTTTTGAGTACGCACGTTAGAAATAATTTTTTAATGGAAGCATTGTCTGAGCTTACTTGAAGACTGAATAATAGAATCGAAGTAAACAAGAGTGAAAAATGAATTGGTTTGAACTAATTGTAACGATAGAAAGCTGCTAAATACGTAAAATAAAGCAGTTTATCATTTTTGCATGGTTTTAAAAGGAGGCTCGACACTTCTATTTATTATTTCTTGGATTGCTAAAAAGGAATAAGGAAACTGTAGAGTTATGCCACTAATCCAACATTATTGAGTTTAATGTTCGAGCATGATACTGGCCATAACATAAGTGCTACCAGACTATCTGGCATATGCTAAGGCACTAAATGATTCCTGTCAAGATTTAGAAGACGAAAATAATGAGACCCAAGAGAAATTCTTGATAAATTCAGGAGTTACTGAGTCATTTGCATCGTCTTTTATTTCTCTAACCAAATGTTCAGATTCATGTTCTAAATGACTGTATCACAATAAACACATAACTTAGTTCCGTAGAGAATAGAGTAACTATAGTCTGTCAGTGTAATTGTGATTGAAGTGGTGTGACTGTGTTGAATAGTTCCGTTTTGGTTTTATTTTCCATGACAACGCACAACTGCAGTTCTTATTCTGTCATTTACCTTCGAAGATTTTACATTTCATAGTCATCTCATAGTGCAGGAAGTTTTCAAGTGTTAGTTTTTGGCTACTTAACTGGTTTCAGGTTTGATCGCGGGCTTAGGCCAACTTTGAAACTCTTTAGAAGTACACATGCAAGACTCCACTGGTGATCGAACCCAGGACCGCCAGGTTACAACATGACCTGGTTAACCAACCAGCTACTGGTACGAAATCTAATGGTTGATGAATTTTAAATCCTGTCAGATCGTGAGTGAGTTTTAGCGCCACTGCCAGCCAGTGTTATCAGGTAGTTTTTGTCCTTACACGCAACCTGGTGGACAGCACTGTTAACGACTTGTTGCTAGAACTCCAGACAACTTTGTCCTGTAGTTAGTCACTAGTGAACGTCAGAATTATTTTTAAGTGCTAGTTTGTGTGGGTGGGGTACGCACTGATTAATGGTCCGCAAAAGCTGTCCAGTACTTCCTGATTGTCTAACCGATATCATTTCGTGATCAAACTTGTACAGAAAATTACTTATAACACTAACATAGTTATCTTGTGTTTACCTCATCTGAGTAGATTTATAGTCTACAGGTTTATTTTATTAAGAGGTGCCTGGAAAATTCCGTTGACTTTACCCGAGTTTGTCTTTTTAATGTGATTCTCTGATGGTAGAAACTTTTGAGAGACTTATTTAAAGTTTCTATTTTCTGTTGATTGATTATACTGGACCGGAATCACTTAACAGGAAATACAAAAGTAACTTAAAGTAATAATGACTGGTATCCATTGCTCTTCTGTTTCAAATGGCCTAGTG